TTTAAAATAATAGTAAAATAATTAAAAATAAACTCGCATTAAATGAGATTTTTTTTTTAAAAAAAAAAGATGTATAGTTTGAAAGTCCAAATTATGATGCGTTTTGGGCAAAGGTTAAAAAGTACATTTTTGTTGTAAAATGTATATATAGAAAAATTTAAAATTTGATACTAATTTTAATAGCATTGTTAGATGAATGAATTTGATTGGAGAGTAACACAAACTTATGACAAAAAAAAATATGAGTAAAGAGCTATTTATATATTATATTTATATAAAATTTTAATTATTATTTTTTTTTTACTTTCAATAATTGAGTTTTATTTATATTTATTAAAAACAGTTATCTTTTTCACATAAATAATCGTAACAAATTTTAATTAAAAATTTAAAAATAAATTGTAAAGAGTTTATATAAGTATGGTGTTGTAAAATTTATATGTGAATGAATCTCTCCTCAAAATATATTTATTACATTTTTAATTATACTCTAATAATATATTTGAATTGAGGAAAATTGAAAAGAAAAGAGGGGAGGGGAAAATATTTTGTTACTTGGTTATTGAAAAAATTAGAGGGGAGGGGAAGGAAAAAAATTTTATTTTATTTTATTTTTTTAATTCAATTATTTATTCAAATAAAAGAAAATGAGGAAAGGGGAATAAAGGGAAAATTTTCTCTTCCTTTTCCCTCCATTGCTTTTAACCAGATAAGGGTAAAAATTAGAAAAAACTACTAAAGATTTAGTGCTTCTTAGAAAAGAAAAGGAGTACTTCATTGTTTTAATCCTTTCCAAAAGAAGAAATTTTTTTAACGAGCACACCTATTAAATTAATGATTAAAATGAAATTTTAATCATGTACTTTAATAAAAAGTGAATTTTTAATTTACTGTACTTAAAGAAATTTATTTTTATTATCTAAATTTATTTTTCTTATCCTTTTTTTATATATTTTTTCCAGACATGGCACGGTAAATAATAAAACTTTATAATTTTCAAGTTAAACAACTTACGATGGAAATTCCACCGTGTAGAAAATGTTGAGGAGGACCTCTATCTTCTCACCACCTGTGTAAAAAATGCTGGGGACCTCCACATTAGCAAAGCTTGTCGGAGTCGCCAAGTTTGGCTATGACATACTTTCTTTGCCTCCCTAGCTTGTGTCTGTATCTCCCCAACTTGGAAACAAACCACTCGTTCGACTCTAACAAAGTCCACCGCCTAAGTCTGTTCAACTTGGGTCGATACGAGGAGAAGGAAAAACAGTATGAAAAGGAATGAGTTGAATTTGTCTATACAGACATGCTCGAGAATTCGAAACACCCTTATTTCTATTCAACTA